TATATATACATAATACCCAACATCGGCAGTACGAATCGCAGTTTCGTGCACGAAGCAATCATCAGGTACAAATGATCACGATCAGTTCATTTGTACCTGGTGATCGCATAATGCATGGAACTCCGCGTTGTAATTTCGGCGAAGGGTATTATGCATATTTATTAATATATACATAACAGCTCTGTTAAAAAGGTTTTTTCTCGCCCGAGTCCATCCTTCAAATCTACAAATCAACCATTCGCCCTTTGCATGGAATACTGCTGCCATATATGTCCTGCTGCCCCTGCTGTTCGCAGGTCCTCAACAAGATCCAGAGACGGATAAGCAATGTGGTTGGTCCTGATCTGGCATCTTGTCTACAGTTGCTCTCTCACAGACGTGCCGTCGCCTCCCTCTGTCTTTTCTAAAAAATAATACATTCACAGTAACTGCTCTGACAAGCTACTTTCGCTAGTTCCCAGACTGCATGAATTTAAGCGTGCTACTAGGCTGGCATCACAGTCCCACCCTTTCACTGTCGAAACGGTTAAATGTAGCCGTTTCTTCTACTCCAATAGGTTCATGTCTCGCCCCTCCCGTCTATGGAATTCCCGTCCGATTACTTGTTACCCTGATAGCTATAATCTCCAACTGTTCAAATGTAATGTCAATCGACATCTTCAGATGCCCTGACCTATTCCCTATCCTTCTCTTCATCCTTTCCTCCATCACGCCTCTTTATCTCGCCCCCATTCTGTAAACCCCTTGCGTACTAGTGGCATCCTTGCTTAGGGAAATGCTTAAAAAAATTTACATTGAGCACTGTTCTATTTACACCAAATATATATATATATATATATATATATATATATATATATATATATATATATATATATATAGGCAGCAAATATTCATCCAAACAAGTTAAAAAACATCCGGCAACGTCTGTCTACTTTTTTTTGTATTTTTTTCAATTTTCGCATAATGTGTAAAGTATTTGTCTATATTTCTGAGATGAGATATTATGTACACTATTTACATTATTCAGACTATTGTCCTCGTCTTTGTGACCATAGTTATTACAACGTTTCGGCCGTTGTACGCTCCGGCCTTCTTCAGGTTGTTGGATGTCGAACTGAACCCTTTATTTCGCTCAATGGGGTAGACTGTTCTAGTTCCACGTGCCATGTTCAGTTCGACATTCCAACCACCTAAAGAAGACCGGAGCGTACAATGGTTGAAACGTTGTAATAAATATGGCCACAAAGATGAGGGCAATAGTCCGAAAAATGTAAATAGTGTGTTAAGTATTGTTGCGTAGAAATTGTTTGAGGTTCATATTTCGTTACTTTTGTTCAAGTGCTTTCGACTTTCACTGTCATTATCAAGTACCGATGTGGTGCCTGTGTTGTAGTTAGAATTCCTTTGCCTGTATCATAGTATTCTTTGGGAAGCTGGATGGTTGGAATGGTTTAGCGTGACGTCATATCTAGCGACTATTGGGAACGAAACAGTACAAAACCTTGTCGGTGCTTTTTAATCAAACTTCCTATATATATTACTTAAGACTTATTACTCATTTAGAGAAAAATATGCTGTTTTCTCAAATATTCAGACCGATAGAAGAATATAGGTAAATATAATGTCTAATAAATAAACGGAGCGTCTATTTAAATACGAGAATCAACTAAAAAACGCTTTTAAAAATATGTATATCACTAGAACTGAATATGTGGTGATCTTCTAAGCTCAGATGAGGCACAAGGACAATAGTATGGAGGTAGCTATCGAGGATCGAACTTACTACTTAACCGTAACTGATCTAGCAAGAAGAAGCTTTCTAACCATTACGCCATGTCGAGATACCCACTAACGATTGCGTCTAGCATAAAACAGCCTGTCGCCTCTGAGTGCTGACTTCAATGTTCACTTTTATATTTACATACGCTCTATTTCTAACATTGAGCGCTTTATCCCATAAATATAGCACACCTTAAACCATATATATATATATATATATATATATATATATATATATATATATATATATATATATATATATATATATATATATATATATATGAAAGAAAAATACAGAAAAAACAAAATTCTGAATATGCATTATTAATGTTAAAATAAAGTCGACGTCGGACGTTTCGGTCTATTTAAGACCATCTTCATGGACATTTTCATTTAAACATAATTAACATTATAACTTATAACAATTTAACACAAAAAAGACGATGGACATAAGAGCCCAACTAATTCAAACAGATTCTGTTTAAATATGATCACGTAGTCGTCTCGTGGGCGATGTTGTTAAGACGTATTCGAAGATGATTTCCAAAAATTAAAATATCAAAAAGTCGATTGAAAAATTTTTATAAAAAGTTAAAGAAATCTCTTCCGTTGATGTTGGAATACGTAGTGAAACAATTGGTTCTTATATCTTCAACAAGCTTGAAAGTCCTTCCCGTTACAATGCAAATCCAAAAATGAAAATGTCCATGAAGATGGTCTT